GACTAAAGATAATTTTCTTTAATCACCTGATCTGAATCTAAGATTTCTATTCGTTTAAATATTATTTGACCAGTCACATTACTATTGATTATCATCCAATAAAAACAAACTAGCCCTATGCTTTGGATAACTTAATTTTATTAAAAATACGGAAAATCTTTTTTATTGGAGAGAGGTGGAATAACACAGACAAAAGAATTATATAATGCAAACCACTTTTTTATCAATTTTAGGATACAGAAGAAAAAACTCAAAAAAAATATTTTACAAAAAAAAAAAAATTCGTCAAATAAAAGAAATAAAAGATAAAAAATAAAAATATAATATAATAATTTTTTAAAAAAAAAAAAATCTACAATAAACTTTTAAAAATTAAATTAATGCATGGATTGGTTAACCTTTTCTATTTCTGCTTTGGCTTCTTCCCAATTGCTAAGATTCTAAATTTTTTAAGAATTATAATTGTAAATAAATTAAGTTACATTGTATAAAATAAAAATAATTCATAAAATAAATATTCAATAATAAATCTAACCTTTTGACACCAATCTATTTGATTTTTTGCATAAGAAATCAACATATCTCTAATATCACTAATTTTTTGTTTCTGAAATCGATCTAAATCATTTTGAATTGATAATGATATGTTTTTTAAATCTACATTACTGACTTCCAATGCTGCTTCAAGCTATTAAATAAATAAATAAATAATTTAAATAATTAATTAAATAATTCTCTTGGCATTATATTACACTATATTATACCATTAACTATATTATACTATTAAATATGATATTTTGAATCATGAATAAAAATTATTACAAAAAACCTGAATGATCGAATCACGGGTTTTCCCAATACTATTCCTTCGAGTAGCTTCTGGATCAACATCCATTATTCCATGAATCGTATGGCTCAATACTGAAAGAATCGCTGACCCACTGAGTTTCTTGCTGTGAGTTTTATATGTAGCCAAATTATTATTATTATTATTATTATTATTATTATTATTATTATTATTATTATTATTATTATTATTATTATTATTATT